GGGGGGGGGGGGCGGTGAGAGAGAGAGAGAGAATTTTCTGTTTTTCACATTAGACAGTTTTTATTATTGAGCCCTCTAATGAGATTTAAATACTTTTTCAGTGTTTTTAAGTTCTACATTTTCATTTGATTTTTTTAATATCCTATATTTTTATGAGATTAACATTTTTTGTTTCAAGAGCATTTGTAATTGTTCATTAAAACACTTTTGTTATGGTTGCTTTAAAATCCTTATTGAATAATTTCAATATCTGTGTCATCATAATTCTGACATCTGTTGATTATCTCTTCTCATTCAAGTTGTAGTTTTCTCTCTTCTCAGATTTTTCATTGTATAATGGACATTATGTATAGTATGTCAGGAGACTCTGGATCCCATTTACATTCTATTTTAGTAGATAGTCACACTGTTTGGGTTTATTGCATAGATTCTAGCCCTCTTCTGTGGGCTGTGGTTTCAAAAACAATTTAGTTTTCAGTGCTATTCTGGTCTGCTTTGTTCACCTGATGCTATTGGCATTCTTGCTGGCTCCCAGCTGGTGCTGTCTGTAGGGGCAGAAGGCACTTTTCCGGACTGCCCAGTATTACCAGGTGGGATGGGAACTATCACCCATGGGGCGGAGACCACTGCCTGGTCTAGCTCACTAACAGCCCATCCCTGGGAGCAGAGCAGGGTGCTCCTGCTTGATCTCCACTAGTGTTACCGCGGAAGAGGGGTGAGTCCACCGCTGCCTTCTGCCACGGGAGCAGGGGCTGGGAGATGGCAGGCCTGGGAACCCTAGAGTTTGTATGCAGTCTTTCTTTCTTCATTGAGATCTTTTATAAAATTGAAATTTTATTTCCCTCTGGAGCCATATTCCCATTGTGTATCAGAAAATAGAGTTGTCAAGTTTCTGAAAACTGCTCCCCTAAAATCTTCAGCTGGACTCACCATCGTTTACTTCAGGGAAGCTCCTTCTTGCTCATCTGAGATTTTTCCTTTCTCTCATTGAAGCAACAATTTCTCATGGGCACACCGGGCTTAGAGTAGATATTCCTTAGCAGTTTCTTCTACTCTCTAAAAGATGATTTGATCAGAATAGAGGGTAAGTAATTTATCAGATGCCCTGCTTTATACAGAGTGAGTTAGATAATGCCCATAGATCCAAAATGACCAGTTTCTAAGACACCTGCCTCTATGCCAGGAGATAGTTCTGACATAGCAAAGCATTCTGGGCCTCCAGGGACATCCATGAACTACTCCTAGCATTCTATCATGTCTGTTTCTCCTCTCCTTGTCCTTACTCAGAGGCTTCCACTATGCTCCTACCATCTAGTTTGAACATAGCTATGTCTTCCATGCTGCCCCTCACCCCCACCTTTGACCTCTATAATGCTTGTGTCTCTGAAACACTTTATGTTTCCATTTCCACCCATGTTATGTTTCATCAAGTTTATTTCTATCTGTAGATTGTATCCACCGTCCACCATCATTTGTGACATGCAAGGCTTCCCATGTGGGTTATCCATCCCCACCGTGATGTTTGTATGGACACCTGAAGCCCTAACTTGTACTGCCAATGTTCTTTCAACACTTCTAAACTAGGAGAGTCAATTCCACGCATTCACAGGACCCACACAGGTGCAGCCACTCAGTCATCCCTTCATTTGTTCTGTTCAGTCATCATCTTTCCAGCACACACAGTGTGCCAGACACCATGTGGGTGCTGGAAGAGAGCCCAAGAAGCTCCCAGACCATGTGGGGAGCCTGAGACACACAGACAGTTCAGGGTGATTGGTGCCGCAGCAGGTGGAAGCAGATCAGGGTCTCACAAAGTTCAGGGGAACCAGAGGATGTGTTTTGGAGCAGGAGAAGCTCCACAGCACTCCCAAAGGATGAGCAGGAACTTGTCATGCCATAGAGAGGGGGAAGGGCTGTGTATCCAGAAGGGATACAGTGCCCCAAGCAGGAAGGACGTAGGCACGCATGTCTGGCCCGACAGTAGGCAGGGTCTGTGTGGAGCTACGATAGGAGCTGAGGCCCAGGAGAGCTGGCGGGCAAGAGGGCTTCGCATACCAGCCGGGGAGGTGTCTGTGCTGAGGGCAGTGAGCAGCCCTGAAGGGCTGAGGCAGGGTAGTGACGTGGCCAGGCTGTGTATTCGGGAGCTCACTCAGGCAGTTGTGTGGGCCTCTGTGTGGGGAGTAGAAGGGGCGGGGCACTCTGTGCTATATGGAGCATAACCAAGTGTCAATGACTAAAAATCTACCCAACAAAAGCCCCCACTCTTCTTGATACTTCCAGGACCGTCTCCAGCCCCCCATGTGTTAGAAGCGCTGGAAAGCAAGTCAGCAGGACACAGGTCCACGGGTGATAGGAAAGACCAAGGTCATACATCTCTATTGCAAAAGTCAAATGGGAACCCACTCTTGCTTGTCCCTAAGGAAAATGGTGCTCACAGTACCCCCTCTGTCTCTCGGGCTGCTCACTCCTCATCTTTCTTCCCCTCAAGTCTGCCCTGAGGGCTCATTCCAACTGCATTTTCCCTGTGGCAGCACTCAGTATAGGCTAGCGAGGTGAGCTCAGGCCTGGGAGCCGGATGGACCTAGGGTCAGGGGCCCACGGCTTCACCTTTTCTGAACCCCAGGTCTGTCCCTGTAGAAGGATATGATCACGCTTACTTGCAGGATTGCTGCATGTGTTAGAGAGATGGTCAATTCCTGGAGCAGGGCGGGTGCTCAGTAACCGGAGAGGTGGCCCTTCTGCAGGCTAGGTCCCTGCCTTTCGCTGCCTCTAAACAGGGAGACAGCTGGCACAGGAAAAAGACTGGAGCTGAGCCATTGCAACCTCTTTTGTAACACCCCAAACTGGAAGCAGCTCATCAGTAGGGAAATATTTGCATGAACTGTAGCTTCTGTTTTTAAGGACTATCAGGTAGCTGTTAAAAAGAATCGTTAAATCTTTCTGTACAAAGAAAACTAGAGGAATGTCCATGAAAATCATTCATTGCAGAAAGCAAGATGCTGTATTCTATGTAATGTGATATCATTTATGTAAAATTAAAAGAAAAAAAAGTGTACCTAGGAGTATATAGGTATTAAGTTTCTGAGAGCAAGGGGGGGTTGGGAGGAAGGCCACACCCACCCCAGAATGTTAACCAAGCTCACCTCCTCATCAGGAACTCAGGGGCTTGAGGAAAAATCTTTAGCTCTTGCAGTGGTCTCCATATTGTTTAATTATATTAAGACTGTTTTACTGCTGTAATTTCAAAATCTAAAGATAAGGAAAACAAAGGCCTGGACATGAATTCCAGATCTGCATCTTGTAACTTAATAGGGTTTTCAACCTCTCCAAACTTTACTCCTTGTTTATAAAATGGGAACAATCCTCCTCTCAGAGTTTTGAAATAAACACGTCAAGATACTAATTCATCTGATAAACATCTACTCAGAGCCCGCTGTGGCCAGTCTCTGTGCCGCAGCTTCGACAATGACACCAGTTTAAGGACGACCCTCTTCCCATTGTGATATGTGGCTCGGGCTGGGGGGGTTGTTCACTTGGCCACACAAATGAATGGGCGACAATGACACTTCCTGTGTTGTGGCAAGAGGGAGGATTGGGGAAGATTTGAGGTTAGTGGGCCTTCGGTGTCCTCTCCACTCAATAGAGGGGACTCTGGCCCAGCTTGGGGCCCCCTCCTCTGCACCCTTGGCAGCAGCCACCTTCCTCCTGGGTTGTGTTTCAGGTGCAAAGCCTAACAAGAGAGATGGGGTGAAGTGCTTCATGGTCACGGTGGTCATCTACCTGATTCTGCTCTCTGCGGGCATCGGGTTGCTCGTGATGAAAGGTAAAGCAGTCTGGGCCCTGTGCGGTCCCTCTGCAAGTGACCAAACATGGTCCTGACAGACACAGAGCTCCAGTGAGTGCTGAGCCCTGGGGCCACCGCTGCCCCCCTGCTGGGAGAGGGCTCTCAGTCCCTCAGTTCACAGATGGAGGTAGAGGGGGAAGTGAAGAGGGAAGTATGTGTTGTCTTGCATGTGTGTGTGTGTGTGTGTGTGTGAGGGAGAGAGAGAGAATGCACATGTGAGCCTGTGTGTGTCTGAAGCAGTGAAAGATGCAATGATTTCACACGGGTGTGCTGTGAGCATTGTTAATGTAAGAAGCATTCAAACTTGTGAAGAACTTTTGTGAGCTAATTTGAGCCAAACTGTCCACACATGCTGGGAAGCAGAATCTCAACGAATTGAGATAATGCTTCAGAGAGCGGCAGTTTTGCACATTTTATACATTACAATCAAAAGAGGAGACGTAAGTGGGTTACATGAAATCCATTGGTGATAGATTAGGGAGGCGGGAGGAAGCCAAGCGGGGAAACCTCTGGGATTGGATGAAAAAGAAAAATGATAGACATGCTCTTCTTTACTTAGGTGGGTGCAGGATACGTAACAGTCAACAATTAACATGATAACAATGAAAATGAGAGGATTTGTGCCTGTGCTTTGAGGAGCCCAGAAAAAGGAAAATTACTTTCTTTTTGCAAAAGTGTGTTAAGGTGAAGATTAACCTTTGTCAGGGAGGATACCAGCCTAGGACATGACTACCCACCATAAACTGCTTTTAGTTTAAAAAGACTTAATTTCAGACCATCCTTTGTGGTTACTTTAGGTCTCTGAGTCTGGAGGCCACTATGCAGGTCTTCCTTGAGCTAGTCAGGTTAGCATGTGGCCCCTTTTCATCCACAGCATCTGGTATCAAGTTTCCAGCCCCTGAGTGGCAAGGGGCTTTGTTGATTAGCAGTCATTTCAACATGACTTTATTTTTCAAAGTGTTCCCTGTCCAGATGTTAAGTTCACAAAGCAATTCATCAGTAGACACTGTAGTCACTAAGAGCAGCGTGTGCCCAGCTGTCATAAACACATATCATGTGCATATTAAGGTCACATATAAGTAAGTCAGTCCAGCACAGTAGTTGCAGTGCATTCACACCCAGAGCAGGCGAGTGATGCCTGCAGGGATGTGCTGTGAACATGTAATGTCATGCCTAAATGTAGAGCACACATGGGCAAGACAGAGAGAAAGCTCTGTGCTCACGCTGGTCCTCACAGCACAGGACATGTGTTTATGTCGTCAGGGCCATGCACCTATAACGCAGGAAAGTTGGGAATGGGATCAATGCCTCAGACTCTAGTGAGGTCCTAAAAGAATGCTGTGCGGTGGTGGTGGTGGTGGGGTTGTCCAGTTCTGAATCTGCAGGAGCATCTCAGGACCCTGGAGATTGACTTCGACAATGGGACGCTGGAGGCAGAGGACAACCCATCCTTCTCCTTGCTCTGGTCGGAGCAACGCCCCCGCCTGCCTGCGGGTGCTGTGAGGATGCAAGTCCTGCAGGCCCAGCTCAGCCAGGTCCGCACCCAGCAGGAGCACCTGCTGCAGCAAGTGGACAACTTCACTCGGAACCCAGGTCTGGCCCCTCCCCTCCAGGCTGGGACTCCTCAGAGGGGGACAAGAAAGTAGGAGCTGCTAGTTCATGGGCAAGGGGGTCTTTGGGCCTGAGTCTCCTTCCCTAGCAAGGGGGTCTTCCAAAACCCTGGCCTGGTATGAAACCCCGGGGTGAGAGCCATATGCGGTGCACATTAAGCACAGGTCCCAGGGGTTGCAGACAGGGCTACAGGAGAGAGGGCCTGGAACATAGGAGCCACAAACATGCCCAAGCCAAGTGTGACCTCAAGAGCCAGCGACAGGAAAAACCCAACCTAAGGCCAAGTCTAAGCCACAAAGCCTTCAGCTGATCCATAATGTTTAGGAGGTTGGGTAGGACACAGAAGCTGGGGTAATTCCTGGGACCCCATCCCCACAGACACTGAATATTAGCCCATTGGTGTAGAAAATCATCATGGGCACCAGGTCAGCCCAGGTGATATGGGAACCATAGAGAGGAAAGGATAGCTGGACCTGCAGGGGAAGCAGGGTGGCTGCAAACAGGAGAAAATGGAGCCACAGGGGTCCCCCTTCCCTTGGTCCCCTCCTCTTAGTCTGTCCTAGAGTGGGAAGGGCTAATTTAGGTAAAACTAGCTCCTAGATGTGACCTGGCTGCTGCAGGGTTTACACTATTACATGGAGCCGGGGCCTTGCTCTGACCTCTGTGTCTGGAGTGCTCTGGGCTTAGGAAACCAGGGTGCCATGCCCATGGAGCACATGCCAGACACAGCGTCCAGGAGGGCAGGTCCATGAGAGGCTGCTGCCTCCACAGTGAGCACAGATGAGAGCACAGTGGGGACACAGGTAGAGGGGACGTTCACAGAGGAGGAGGGTCCAGGCTCAGGCGCTCAGACACAGAGAAGGCCACTCCTTCCCTTGAGAGTCAAAGGAGCTAGTTGTGATCGGTATGAGGGCCCTTCCTTCAACCTGACACACTTGCCCAGCTGGTTTAGCTCCATAGTCTCCTGATGATGTGGGGTGCCCTCCAGGGTCCCACACTTCTGGGACTCCCAGGGCTCTCCGGCTCTTCCTAAGGACTCATTCCTGGAAAATGCCCGGGGACTTGGCTCCTGTTGCCCAATGCCCCCAGTTCCCACGTGCATGTCAGTGCGGAGCGGGAGCTCTGACTGCCCCACAGCTCGGCCTGCAACCCTCTCTCCTTCCCTCACAGAGCTCCTCCGGATCAAAGGCGAACGCGGCGCTCCAGGTGGGTTCACGTCCAGCTGCCCCACGCTCCCTCCCCACGACCTTCTCCCACGGCGCCGGCTGCCTGTGCCTTTCTGGGCCTCCACACCTGACCTCAGCTTACCTTCCATGGGTCCCACAGTCTCCCCACAAGCCCCTGGTTCTCGCTTGGTTTTCCTTGGTGCCCTGGCCTTGTTTGCACTCCCAGCATCTGGGCCTTGAGCCTGCTGTTACCTGAAGTGGGACATGGCTCCCCCTCGCTGCTCCCCTTCAGATCTAGCTGCTTCTAAGACCAGCCCCAGTGCATCCCCTTGGCTGTGCTCTCCCCCAGGGTCCCAGCACAGGCCCTCCTTTGTCTCCCATGGATACTCTCTCTAGGTCCCTCTCACCGGACACTTCGCACTTAGCCCCCATCTGGCTGTGGCCACCATGACAATGCAGGAAGCCACAGCCTGTGGGGTCAGGCCGACCTGGGTTCTAGTCCTAGATCTGCCATTACCAGCTGTATGACTTTAAGCCAGTTACTTAGTTCTCCTGGAACCTTGGCAGCTCACCTGTGTAGAAATAATGCAGATAATTTACTCCCCTCACAAACTGGCTGTAAGAGTCAAGTGAGATGACATGAACAATGTCTGACAGTGACAGTGCTCCCTGAGGATGAAGCCTGGGCTCAGCTGCCTTTTCTCCAACTGCCTTTTTCTTAGCATATAAATTTTGTCGCCCACACACACACAGGCACACATGCACGTGCGCACACACACACTTTGCTCACAGTCCACCAGCTGAGTGGTAGAAATTTCATATCGAAAATAAACGTACTCAACGTTGTCAGGGCAGAACTTTTTAGTTTCATAATTTTTCAAGCATGGCCCCAATCACACCGCTGGGGGGGTGTTACTGAGGAAGCCTCTCGAGTGGCAGGAGCCTGGGCTTGGACAGCAGGCGGCCCTCTCAGGAGCTGGGTGGCCTTGAACAAGTCACGTCCCGCTTCTGAGCTCTGTGTCCTTCCACATGAGATGGGGGTAATGACAGGACCTCCAGGAGTGGTGTCAGGATGAAATGATGAATGGGAAAGTGCTTAGCCCATGCCCGGCTCGGGGTAAGTGAGGCAGGAAATTACAATTGCAGAGGCTTGGGCTGCAGGAGGCCTGGGCTCCCTCTCAGGGCCCACCTGTCTTCCCAGGTTCTCCACCACGGTGGCTCCCCCAGAGAGGCTGGGGTCTCTCTCCCCTCCCCCCATGGCTTGCCTTGTCTGGTCAGAGCTCCCGAAAGGCGTATCTTGCTAGAAAGCCCCATGGAAACCAATAGGCGGGCCAGAGAGGATGGGGTTCAGCTCAGAAGCTGGTGCTTGCAGCCCCGGCAGCCTGCTTGTGAAGCTGCGCTGGCCAGGAAGGTGGGGAAGGGCAAATGCACCTAAGTCAAGCTTTGGGGAAGGGTAGTGTGGAACCACCTGTGCCTCAGTTTCCCTCTTTTGTGTGTCCCGGGTGATTTTCTTTCCTCCCAACAAATATTTATTGAAAACCTTTAAGGATCAGGCACACCCCAGGCAGTGGGAATCCAGACTTCAGAAGACAGACAGGACCTCTGCGCTCAGGGGCCTTCGGTTTAGGCAGGGGAGCAACCTGAAACATGACTTGGCAGCAGCCCTTGCTACTGCTCTGAAAAAAGAACAGAGCCCTGGGTGCAAAGAGCACAGAGGGGACCTGAGCCCCGCAGGCCCAGGGGAGGCTCCAGGGTCACCTTTCAGCTGTGACCTGTGGGTGAGGGAAGGCTGCAGGGAAGCATGGGCCCTCGGCAGAGAGAATCCAAGCTCAAGGCCCTGGGGTGGGGAAGGAGTATAGTGAGTCAGGAATGCTGGAGAGGGATAGTTCACGAGCCTGGAGTGCAAGAGCAGGAGGAACAGAGGGGGGAGAAGAGGGGGGAGCGGAGGGACCAGGCAGGCTTGGGGTGCAGCAGGCCCCCCAGTTAAGAGAAGGAACATTTTGTCTGTGCTTTGTTGACTTCTCACATGAATCCCGAGTGGCTGTTGCTGATATCTCCATTTCTCAGGAGAGGAAAGTGAGGCTCAGAGGTATGCTGACTTGCTCAAGCTAACCCAGGAAGGACTGGAAGAGCTGAGTTAGACTCCGGGGCCTGAGCCTCACCTCCGCTCCAGGGGCCAGGCTGCTATGGTGGAGCTGGGACAGTCTGCACAGCCTTGGTGGGAGGGGTCCTAGGCCTCACCCTAGAAAGCCCCTCTGAGGGGCCTGCACCCATCCTGTCAGGATGTGGGGTACCTCTCCTGAAGGACCCGGGGCCGGAGCCCCCGGCCTTGACCTGCTAGGATGAGGAACAGCTCTGCTGAGGTATTTCCCGTGTCCATGGGCTCTTTAGGGTTCTTGCCTCTTCCCTTTGGCTAATAAGTATAACAAGAGCCCCCTTGTAGGTTTCTACCATGTCCACACCCTCATCAAGTCCCCTGAGGACCCTGTGAGGAGGCGCTGCTATCCCCATACAGAGGAAAGCGGCGCTAGGCCAAGAGAAGGCCCTTGTTCAGGACACACAGCGCTCAGGGGAGCCAGCTGTCAACCCCCAGACTGATTCTCAACAGTGCCCTTCCCTGAGACCCCGTGCTGCTGGAGTGAGGGGTTTCAGTTCCAGGTCTACTTTTATCCCCCTGGACCTCAGTCTTGTCCCCAGTGTCCCTTCCCTAGGCTTCTCCCCGGTCCCAGAACATTAGTGGCCTCCTAATTGAGTCTTGCTGGACCACTGCAAGATTACCCAAGAAATGAGCTAACACACCCCAGCTTCCTCTGGGGATGCCTTTCTCTTCTCCCCAGAATGCCTCCTGCCCACCGCCTAAGAGCCCATGCCCAGGAGGATGCTGGGAGCCCACCTCACTGGCATTCCCTTCGCAGGCACCCCAGGACAGAAGGGCAGCAAAGGCGATCAGGGTCTCATTGGCCTGAAAGGGGAAACTGGCGCTAAGGGAGACAAAGGAAACATGGGCTCCCCAGGTAAGGGCCTTGTTGGGTGCGAGTGCTCCCCGGGAGGCTGGGGGGGGGACTGGGCCCCACTCTGTGCAACCCTGTCTGTTCAGCACCCATTGAGGGGCGGGCTATGCTCTGCCTACCAGCATCCCGGGATCTTAGATTTGGTACCTGCCATCCAGGTGAGCGAAGGACAGGAATGTGAAAGCTAAGAGCAATGTGAGAGGACAATAGTGTCACACCAAGCATAACAGGTGGCAACTGAGGACAAAGGCAGTGCTAGGAAGTGGCAGGAAAAAAAAGTGAGGCACCAAAATAGGAGGCTGAGGTGGGCCTGGGAGGAAGAGGAGCCTGGATGGCCGTGAGGGCCAGGGCTGATTCCGGGGAGGTCATCAGGCCCTCTCCCTTGACGGCAGGTGCCGTCTCAGAGCAATACTTCTCAAGGGGCCCTGGGTAAGGGCTGTTTTGGGTGTTCATTCAAAACGCAGGATGGGCCCAGCAGTCTGTGTTAGAGACCCTGGAAGTCCAGGGCGCAGCTCTGGAGGAACTGCCCCAGGGGCTCTGGCCTCGACTGAGCACCGTCAGGCTCTTTGTCACTTGGCCTCTTTCGTGGCCCCTCAGGGGGCTCTCGGGTGCCATCAGGAAAATGAGGGCTGCAGGGCTAACGGGCTCAGTGGCCGTCGCTGCTCTGCGCTTGCACGTCTGTGTGCCCGGGCACATGACAGCCTGATGACGTTTGATTTCTTCATTTCCCAATAGAATGGTGATTAAATTAAAATGATAATTAAATTACACACACCCTGCAGGGCAGTTGTAAGGGTTAGAGATCATGTTTTCTGGCTCCACCACGTGGCTGGTACTAGATAAGTGATGACCATCATTAATAGTAGCTTGAGGGGCCGTGTAAGGTAGAACTTCAGGCTCAAGGTCAGGCAGATCTGGGTTCTAACATGGCTCGCTAGCTGTGTGACCTTGGACAAGTCACTTAACTTCTCTGAGCCTCAATTTACTCACCTGAAAGGATAATAGCAGTCCCCTTTAATGAGGATTAATTACAGCAGGGACATAAGACATGAAAGAAGTGTGATTCTGTTCCTGAAGTTACTTACAGCGTAAGAAACTAGGCACACTTGCCTTCGAGGAGAGCCCTCAGCAGGGACCTGGCAGCCAGCCTCAAACCTTAGCGAGGCCCCTGTGAAAGAGGAAAGAGACTTGCTTTAGTGGCGCCCAGCAAACAAGGACCAATGGGTGAGGGTCCCAGCAGAACCATTTGTGTCGTGGTGAGGGAGGAAGAACAGTGTAAGACTTGGGGGCTGCCCCTGGTGACATGGGCTGATGGGGGTCTTAGGGAGCAGCCACTGCTGGGGATGGGAAGAGTGGGTGCAGAATTCTCCCAGGTGGGACTGAAGGGGGATCCTTGCCCCAGCAAATGGTTGGACAGTTGACCTCTCAGGATGGTTCCCAAAGTGGCACTCTGAGTTCTCTTTACAGTAGGAAAGGAAGGCCCACAGAGGGGACAACAGCCAGGCCTTTGCCCTCCAGTCCTTTCCCAAGGACTCTGAGCCCTGCTTTTTCCCATCCCACTGCCACCCACGAGGGCATGGGGCCCACACCCAGAGCGGCCCGGGAGCACTGTGGTTGGGGAGGGGAAACGCAGCAGTTTCAGTTCTTCAGAACCCAGGACTCAGCCCCACCCCTCCTCTTCCCTGATCTCCTCTCCCAGGTCACAAGCTCTCTCTTACCCACTGCTTGCCCCACCCAGTGGACAGGGCTAGCCAACCTGGTGCGACCCACCCCCGTGGTACTGAGCTTCTTCGCTCAGCAGACGGGTAATGCCACAGTGGTGGACTTCCAGGGGATACACTCCCTCGTTAGCTGTGACTGGAAAGTTCTAGAGTCAGACACAGCTGTGATTCTGCATGTGGTGCCTGGTCTTTTTGCTGATACTGCTCTGCTTCGACGGGTGCCCCCTCTGATGGAGACACGGACGTCACAGCACCACAGACTCAGGCCCAGGCCAGACCCCGCTCAAGAAACCTCACGCAGCCACACAGCTGGTCACAGTGTGGTGGTCCTGGCTGGCCCGGGGCAGTGGGCCACCAACAAGTCCCCCCAGGAAAATCACTTCTGGTCCCTTCTGCCTAAGTGAACACTCCCGATGAGCGAGAACGTCCTCCGTGTGTTTGCCGAGGCTGCTGTAGAGATGTCAACTCTAACCAAGCTCTTCACGGTTGTTTTGTCTTCCACCAGGAAATAGTCACCCTTTCAAGTATCCAAAGCATCTCCAAGAATCTAATTTCCAAGCCTTGCCCCTAACAGCCCTCAAAGCTTAGACCCAGATGGGTGTATGCAACAGTTGCTTCTCTGCCTCCTCTTCAGACCTTTCTGTCTCCTTTCCTCCTTCACTGGGGGAGAGAAAGCTGGTGGCCTCCTGAGTCCTCCCCAGCTCTGATACCATAAAATGAATGGAATGGAGGCTTTTAACCAATTCTATCCCAACAAGCCAGCCCCAGGGCCGAAGGGGTTGCTCTGCTGCGTCTCTGCTGATGGTGCGACCTCTGAGCTTCCTGAATACCAGCCAGCCTGTGGGTTACTGATGAGCCGCCCACAAGGGGCCTGGCAAGGGCCATGCAGCCTGCTCCCAAACCCAACTCGCAATTTGGGAAGGGGTTGGCGAATCCTGCCCTGTGAGGAGCTGCCCTCAATTGATATGCACCAAGCAGTGGCAGAAAGGAGGAGGGAGAAAGGAAGATCGAGGAGTGGACTGGCTGGGACAAGCCTCGAATGCTGATGACAAGTGGAAAATTTGAAACCTTGGGCACAAGGAAAGCCCATGGCTGAAGCACTGGCAGGAAAATGAGCTGCTGCAATGTTTTTCTCTCCATCAATACTTCATAGTTTCTGTGCTCAGCATTTGGGGTCTACCTGCAGGAATATTCAGATTTCAGTCTGGAAGGCTTGAAAAAATAATTCCCCACATAAACCAGACAGCACGAGTTGAGCCCCAGCTGTGGTCCCTCCCAAGGGGACCTGAGCTCTGACCTGGGCCCTGAGAGCCAGGCTTTGAGACCATCTGCTGCCAGCCAGGCGAGGTCGCCGTGTCCATTTCTCATGAGTTTATGTCTTGTCTCTGGGGCAAGGTGGTGTGCTCCTTGAAGGGGGGGCCCTTGTGTCTTGAGTGGGACGAGTTGTGTCAAGCGGGACCTGGTGCCCAGGCTTGCCCTCCTCCCATGCCCGACTATGACTCCTTGGTTTTTCAGGAAGCAAGGGGAACATGGGCGTGAAAGGAGACATGGGCGTCATGGGACCCCCCGGAGCCCAGGGGAGTAAAGGTGACTCAGGGAAACCAGGCTCTCCAGGTAAGAGGTTGCATGGGCAGGTCCACGCATGGGCTTGTACATATTCCATTTTTTTTCCTGGAAGGCGGAGCTACAGGAAAAAAGTCCTAAGTCCTTCTTAATTGTAGGTGTGGCTGGAATTCCTGGAATCAAAGGAGATCAAGGTAAGAACTGCAGGAACCTGGGCATTAGTCCATCTCTGGGCCAAGTTAAGTCCAGGCCCTGACTCTACTATCTCTTATTTCATTGTGGTGTTAATCCAGAGCATCTGGGGCCTCCAAAACCTGGCCCCCTCAAGAGGAACAAAGCAGCACACTAAACTGATGCCCCTCGTTAGAGCTGCACCCACTCTGCCACCAGAGTGGGAGCTGAACATTCGTGACCCAGGTTCCTAGTAAGCCCACAAGCCCCAAGCTGCAGTGAATGGGAGAAAGTAACAAACCGCTGAGACTGTCATTCCCTCTCACTGTTTGGGCTGCCTCATGGCTTCCAGGGCTGCCCAGGGAACATACTAGGTGCCAGGACATACAAGTCTCACTGCTGAGCAGAGGTGCATTGAGGGGATGGCAGCCAGGCCCTCTGCCAGCCACCCCAGCCTTGCAGTTGTCAATTAACTTTCAGGACCACCTGGAGCAGAGGGTCCTCGAGGCCCTCAGGGTGCAGCAGGATCCCCAGGTGCCAAGGGAGAGCCTGGCAGAGCTGGTGCCACTGGGCTAACAGGTGAGGTCTTCTGTCCTGTGGTGGACATGGGGGGTGAGGTCTGAAGATCCATCTACCCAACTCTTATGCTCACTGTGACATCTGTTGTCCAGGACAACCAGGGAGACCCGGGAGCCCAGGACCTGAAGGCATGAAAGGAAGCAAGGGAGACACAGGTAAGGGAGGGTGTGGGTAGGTGGGTGGGCAGGGATGGACAGGAAGGAAGACTGGCTCCCTGCGGGCCCACCAGAAGAAAGCAGAGTGTCTCCTGTGCTCTGACCCCGGAAGGTCCTAGGGCTGTTCTTCCTCTGCCCAGGGTTCCTTAAAGGCCTTGAATGCCACAACCAGGCTTCTAACATCAAAAAGCAGAGCAGGGCACCTCAGCCATGCTGTCTCCTTGTTCTGCCTTCCAGCTGTGGGCATAGTTTCCACTCTCCCTTGCTCACCTGAGTGGGGCCTCAAGGGTCAGGGATTCGGATAGGGGGTGTCAAGAAACCCCTCTTTGCATATTCTCCCAGGGCTGTCAGACTAGGGAGAGCAACCCACAGCAACCGAACTCACAGAGACTAGTTTCGAAACCATCATGCCAACTTAGCCTACGTTATAAACTGTCATGTCAATTTAGTCTGGTTATAAACCACAATACCAAGGCGGTCTACTTTATAAACCACTATGCCAATTTTATCTAGTCACTACACACATCTGGGCACTTGCAACGGTCTAGAAAGTCTGAGCCACTGTGCTGGGTGCTGAGTCCCATGATGCATAGGACCTGGCTCCTGCTCTCAGGCATAGAAATTGGTGCAGGAGGCACACAGACTTTGTCACACTGTGTCAAGCGCAGTTTGATGTGAACATTTGCATGGAGAACAGTCACATGCCATTTAGAAAGCCAGGTGCAGGCCAGGAGGTGTGGTGGCAGCCTGGAGCTGTGAGAAAGGGCTGCGTGTCTGCCTAGGATATCTGTGGGCAGCCTGCTGCAGTCCCCTCCTCTGGCAGAGTCAAGGTCATGCTTGTGTTAGCAAACCTGTATGCCCTCACCCCAGGGCCACGCTATGGACCCACACGAAGAGGCAGGACCTCTGAGTTTTCACTGATCAAGTGGTTGACCAAATAATTCCTTTAACGAATGTGATTTAACCCTGTTAAATGCTTCAGGTTATTGGTGGCTGGGGTCCGGTGGGGGTGGCGAAGGGCAGACCAGTGCAGGGGAGATGTAAGAGCTTGAGCTGAGTCTTGGAGAATGAATGGAGCTTGGACGTGTGCGGGAGGGGAAGAGAATCTAGAGAGAGGAAACAGGGCTGGTGAAGTCATGGAGGAGTGAGGAAGGGCTCTGTAGGGTGGTGTCCCTGGCACCTGGTTGGTTTCTTAGGTTGGGATGTGGGGGAGTCAGGAGCTCTGGTCAGAGGGGTAGGTGCGCCCTCTCCCTGGCCAGCTTTGGACTGGGCCTTTGACGTCTGGGGTTTTACTGAAGGTTGTCAGGAGCCATGGCCCAGGCAGGTCCTACACCCACAGTCCTTCCAATCCATCCGGCCATGGAGCTGATTTCTTTTCACAGACTGTGGTTTGGTATAAGCAGGGGCTCTGCTACCTGATGCCACCTAAAGGCCACCAGCAAGGTCTCAACTTCCAGAAAGACTCCATCTGGATGAGGTGGATAGGTGGCCTTGACTTGTCAGCTCCCTTTCTGATCTTACACCTCCCTCTTTCTTGGAGATCTTAGGGTGTCTGACTTTGGGGCCTGAGTCTGTCTTGCCTCTGAGCTTTCTGTTTGGCTTCATGGAGATGATGGCTTTCCTCCCTCATTATAAACAAGGAGAATCCCTCCCCCTCTACACACTCCCATTGCTAGACTAAGTAAGAATACTTGGGGTAAAACATGATTTTACCCAAAGGGCCATTGAGCCCACTGCCGGGCCCTAGTCAGTGTCTCCCACTGTCCGAGAGCAGGGAATCTTGCCCTGCGCTCTGCATCCTGGGAGGGTTCGCACAGTGAGAGCAGCTGCTGACCCTGAGCATTTTCCTGACCACCCAATGGACTTGGGTTGTGAGTGCTACTTCACAGTGAGAGATGCAGCCAGGGCGCATCCAGGCCTGGCTGGTCCAAGACGTGTGCTTTATCCATTACACTTTATTATGCCATCTTCCTCCCCAGGCAGCCAGAAGGGCCCCCTGCCCCCATCAGGGCACTCAGAGGCGAAGCTGCAGCAGCTTCTTCCACCCTTAGAAGGAAACCCGAAGATCTCCGGCCGTTATGGCTGTCCCTCACTTACCCACGGCCCCACTCCATTGGAGCACACAGTCTGGGGACCGTTTTCAGTCCATCGTCTTTGTCTATTCATTGGGTGCCTTCACAGGGATCTCCAACATTCAGAACTAGTGGTAAATACCAACCAGGCAAGTTCCTGCTGCCCGATAAACATGGTGAATTACATTTTCATTTTGAGGCGTGTGATGATTAAAACCTGTGTAAACTTGCATAGGTTTCCCACTCAAACCCAAATGCTTACCTTGAACAAATAGCTGCTGGTCTGCACGGACATCTCAGAAGGGAATTCCCACCGATAGGACCACAATCTGGCTCATCATAACCAGGCCTCGATAGCATCCTGAAGGAAAAGGCTAATGAGCTCTGGGAGAGGTTAGGTCTCTGACCCGGGAGAAGGAAGGGTGGGTGGTGAGTGGCAGCCAGGGCTCATCATCGAAGACAATGTGTACTTTTCGATGTCAGGACACCGGTATTCCCCGAACTAGAGGTCCCATGGTGTTTGTCCAGGTTTGATTACATCAAGCCAGTTTTTCAAACTGATGTCTTTTCCCCATTTTGTAAATAAAATCACTAATCTCTCAAGAGGTTATCTGGCTGCATTGGACAAAACAGAGAAATTATAGTGCCTTGGCTTGACCTGGGAAACAGCTAGCTTTCAATATTGTGCTTTAATAATAAAAACAGACCTATTTATTATCAGCAATGCCTCTGGGCCAGACACTGTGCTTGGGACTTGATTCCCATGATCTTAGTCCATCTACCCACACACGCCTCCTACCTTATAGCCAAGGAAGCGAAGGCTCCCAAAGCGCAAACGCCTTGCTCAGGGTCTCACAGTTAACATGCACCTAATCTGGGAGTTAATCTCAAACTCTGATTCCAAATTGGTGCTTCTCCAGACCTTGTTATATAGAATAGCACAGAGTATAGGACTCAGATAAATGAGTCCCACTCCACAGTCTGAGGGTAAATCCTAGCTTAGTCACCAAATCTCCCCGCTGTCACGGACAGTCACTAACCACGGCNTGCTTCTCCAGACCTTGTTATATAGAATAGCACAGAGTATAGGACTCAGAGTAAATCCTAGCTTAGTCACCAAATCTCCCCACTGTCACGGACAGTCACTAACCACGGTGACCCCTTCCGGTGAAGTGTTTCCTCCTGCTCACATCTCCTGAGAAGGCGGAGCCGTCTCAGATGAAGGATTGTGAGGAGCAAACCCCTTCCATCTGCTTGGAAAATAAACTGCATGGCTTAGTAAGTGGCATTGTCACCCAGCAGAGCTTTCTTGAAGGTAATTTCCATTACCATTAACAAAACAGGGCTTTATCAAACCCCTAAAACTTAGTTTTTGTAACCTTTGATCTTTTAAACAGTTACAAAATCATTAAAAAATTTTTTGCAAAAAACCCACAACAAAATGAATTTTAGCTCAAAGTTTCATAAAGTTTGTTCGGAAATAAGGAAGGACTTGCTGGTAATAATGGCATTTCTTTTTCTATTTCCACCCCGTGGGACCATGTTAGAAGTAGCTAAACATTCAAGCTCCAAAGCACCAATCTGATCAGAAATTCTGCATCTCAACAGCCTTCAACTCCAAAGTATAACAAGAACCCAAATTTTCTAAGTTCTTTTACTTTCCTCTTGAGGCAAATCCAAAGTTCAAAATAACTTGAAATCTCTTTTCTCATCTGTATTTTACAATGTTTTACTTTAAAGACAGCAACAAAAAATCATCCACAATAGCAATCAAACCCTACATTGTGAATTTAATTTCTCAGTTAATTCCATTCCCCATATCTAAGTACCGAGTTAGTGTAAGAATTTATTAAATTCCACCAAGTCATATTACTAAATTGTCACTTATGAATCTTTCCCTTGTTTTTCTCTAAGTTTTTTAGAGACATTTGCAGGAGTCTACATGCCTCCCAGTTTGGGGTCGGCTTTTGCTTCTCGACACACAGCTCAATTTGTCAGTTATGAAATGAATCCTAGACGTGCCAGGCTGTACTGAGCCTGTATGTCAGGATGGGACTGAAGGGAGTTTCCTAATGTCCTGGGAATGGCTCATTCGGTCAGAGCCAGGAGACCTGTGCTTCACCTTGGACTTGCCTCTGACCAGCTAGGTAACAGTGGGCCGGTACTTGACCTCCCTGGGCCCCAGTTTCCCCCTCTATGAGGTGCAAGGAGTAGTCTAGAATAACATCTGGGTCCAGCAGCTCAGGGGCACTCTGGGGCTAAAACAGGAGATTTCCCCTGGGAGCAGGAACATTTGGAGATTTTAGGCAGAACGCCAGCTCAACACTAAACAATAGGAAGGCATTTGCTTTCTAACTAAATTATTTTGGGAGTAGAAATATCTTCCCCAAGTAAATACCTTGCAAATAAGTATGTTGGGCCCTCTCAGCTTGTGAGGCTGTGACACCCGGGAAACCCAGTTCGTTTGTGGTGAAGAGGGAAGCCCAGGTTCACTTGCTTCCAGTGCACTTTTGTACTCACTTCTAGATGCTGTTTTTCAACCTTTTCTCTCCCCCTGATCTGATTGGGACACTACCCTGATTTGTAGTGAAGCAATTACAAGTCCTTCGATGGAACAGCCACTCAGTGAATGTCCTTTAGTGTCCAGAGGCCGAGAGAGACCTCACACAAAACTCAGCTCCCGGTTCCTCCACCTGAAGAGGGGAGTGTTGAAGACAAAGCCACCACCCGCTCGCTACATACACGTATCAGCAGGCACTTCATCAGCTGGCCCCCGAGATCAAATGGGGTGTGTCTGGGGCGGTGCTACTCAAAATGTGGTCCCCGGACCAGCAGCATCAGCATCACCTGGTACCTGTCAGAAATGCAGAGTCCCAGGTCCCATCCCAGACCCATCCATGGAATCAGCGACTCTGGGGGGCGCCCAGCAGGTTGCTCTTTAGCAACCTTGTGCAGGTGACTCTGGGGCACACTGCAGTGTGACTGCTTGTTCAGGGGAAAGGAAGGACCCAAGGCCAGCAGCCGGTGCCTTCGGAACCCAGCGAACAGCCCGAGCCAAGCTCCAGGAAGAAACAGGGAGCTGGCAGAGACAGGGCCCAGTGGGAGGCAGACCCTGGGACCCAACACCAACCTCACCTTAGATAAATCCCTCCCATCTCAGAGTGAGGGCTTCTGCTTCACCCTCTGCACAGAGGGAAACGGCCTGCCTTGCAGGGCAGCTGAGAGATGGAACAAGGCCGCACAGGTAAAGCCCCTGGCTGCGCAGGGTGCCTGGCCCAGTGCAGGCAGGCGGCAGGAGATGCTGAGTCCCCAGGAGGTGAGGGGCTGGGAGGAAGGCGTGAAAAAGGAGGGAGAGTCAGGCCAAAGGGACATGGGCCTCATGAATAAGGGCTTCCCTGTTGTTCTTGTCTGCACAAGGTGTATGTTGATCGGTGCTGCAGGGACAGCTGGAGAGAGGTACGTCTTTGAGAGATGAGGGGACAATAAAGGGAGGTCACAGTGCCTGGCATCCCTGAGCCTTGCTTCTAGGGACAGAGCCGTAAGTTAGAGACTTCTGCAATGTGGTGCGCTCTAGGATGCAGACAGAGAGGGCCAAGGGTCTAGTGTGGACCACTTTAATTTAATCACAAAGACCTGTTTCTGAATGTCTTCAGCTCCTTAATCTTGACACATGCGATTCAGACGCAGGTAAGTAGAGAGGAAGCATCTGCCACCTCTGCAGGGTGACCTCGGGTCAACAGCAAACAGGGGCTGGCTGGGGAGCAGGCCTCAGAGGAGGAAAGGGGGTTCAGGGAAGGAGACACCTTGCTCTAGGTCACGGAGGTGGACACAGCCCAGAGCGCCTGACTTGTGCAGCATCAGCAGTCAAGGCCAGAGAAGGCTTCGCAGTTGTTGACATCTGACATTTTAGCACATTTTACAGGATTGGTCAAAGTTCTCAAAGGCACCAAAAAGGTGAAGCATTCTAGACAGAGGAACCAGAGCACAAACCAAAGGCCTGGGTGAGCTGGGGACTTCCTGCCAGTGTCAGGCCTCTAAGGTACCCTCAGCTCCTAGAAGAAGCTCTGAGCCTCAGTCCTGTCCCCATGCCTAGCATGAGGGGGCTGCAGCAGGTGCCCTCTCAGATCCTTCCAGTGCACCCTGCTTCTCCTGGTGCCGAGGCTTGTAGTGGCAGCTCGTGGCTCCATGGCCCTCTGACCCTCCTCCCCAGGCAGTGCTTGGCCTCGACAAGATATCTGAAAGGCTGTGGGGAGCCAAGACTCCCTTGGCCTCTTATTCCAAGGTGTCCCAAATAGACCTGCCAGGCTTTAGCTTACCCCTCATTGACCAGCACACAGTAGGTACTCAGGAAAGTCAGGAACTGGGAGGCAGGAACTTCCCCATGTAGGAACTTCCCCCAGGCAATTGGCAAGGAAGGTAACTGTGGTTTCTGTTGAACATCAAAAGCGGGCCTTTGGTTAAGGCTGGGCTTGCACCATGGGGGGGACACCAGTCAAGGGCGTGGTGATGGGCACATCGCACACTTTGCATTCTCATTGCTACACTCTAGTAACTGTTACTTCACATCAATATCAAGTTTCATTTTCCAAGTTTGTGTAGCTGTCTTGGAGAGCCCCATTTCTCTGAAGTAAAACTAATAGTAGCCTTAAAACCAAGAGACCATGATGTTGCTAAACCAATAAATTATTATCCCACAGTGACCCGACCTGGTGTGGGAAGAGTGGACCATCCATGGACGTTAGTGAGAAAAGATGAATGGGAGGAAGGAAGGAGGGAGGGAGGCAGGGTTTTTCACATTAGAACACAAATAGTATCATCACTAATAACTGCAGTGATTATTTTTCCATTTTCTGCACATGAGGCCCTTTAGCCGCATGACTCTTCAGCCACACTGGGGCCACAATGAAATAAACCAACCAAACTATTAACATCTACTATGGGTGAGGCCCTCAAAGCTCCTGGTGGCCCCTGAGTACCCTCTAGAGTCTTTTGGAAATAAACATAATTTTATTTTCACAGTATCTCTTAATTCTTTTCCAATAAATGCAACAGGAAGGAATAGACTTGGACTTAGACACTAAGTCAGGCTACCACTGGCACGGAAGGTCAGCCAGTGAGTTGGGATCTGTTTGTCTAACTCAGACCTCCACCCAGGACATTTCTGTTTCACCCCAACACACGCGTCCCATTATGTACAGTCCGTCTCCTTTGTGTTCTGCAGAAGAAGCTAAACAATCGTGAAGCGCTGATGTATCTTTCCATCTGCATTAATCAGACAAAGGCAGAGGTTGTCTAAGATTAAAAGTATCTAATATCCAAGTTTTATTATCTTCTCCTGGTTTTTGTATTTTGATCTTAGGACTTCAAGGACAGAAAGGAACAAAAGGAGAATCAGGAGTTCCAGGTAAGGGGCCGACTCTATTTTAATTTTCTTGCAATGATGACTGCAAAGGCTCAGGCCTGGCTTGTTGACTTTGAAAGAACTGCTGTGACCTTCTCTCAAAGCAGCCGGGGCCTCAGATTTTCTCCCTGGGAAACCTGAGGAATGACAGGAACTCAGTGAGTTGAGGGGTATAGGGCTTTGGATGGGGGGGGGACAGGGGGCTCGGTGAAAAGTATCAGGAGAGCCGGTGGCCAGGTAGTGGCTTTGGGCTATGCAGCCACCTGGCGCCTCCAGCGCCTCCCCACCTCCTCCGTCTTCTCCCTGGACTATTGCACCATCCTCGATGCTAAGCCCCGGCTGGTAGCTGGTTACTGCGCTCAGCGCTCTCCGGAGAGCAGCTCTAGTCCTCTCGGCACGCAGAGCCCAGGAGTGCGAGAGCAACACTTCTCCGACAAGCTGCTGGAGCAGCCTCTCTCCCTCAAAAACTGGATACTCTATTCCTGTTTTAACTTACCAAGGAGAAAATAAGGCCTAGAAACACTCTAGCAAATTCTTCTAGAATGGCTAGAACTTCCACACAATTATGTAGTCCATGAGGACCAACAATCTCTGGACTCCTGTCAGCAACTTCTCAACAAGCATTTGCATTGGACTCGGGAGATTAGAGCGGTGCCCCCATCCCCACCCCCCGCAGCCAGAGGGACCAAAGATACCAACTGAGCATCCAAACAGCCCAATTCACAGGGAAACCTGCTAGTTAAGGACAACTCATTAAACCACTGCTCTTGGGCCCCTTGTAAAGCAGAAGAGAGCACCGGACCGAGCAGTCTTTCTCCTCCCAGGACCTGTAGGCATGAAGGGAGACAAGGGAAGCCCAGGCCTGGCAGGCCCCAAGGGTGCAACTGGGCCAGGTGGCCAGAAGGGAGACCAAGGAATGAAAGGTAAGGCCTCTATTTCTCCTTTGTGGGTTCAAAGGAGAGGCTCTGATGTAGGGGGCTCAAGAGTTTTCAGAACCAGAAGGTCTGGTCTGCTGGTTCCGTGGATGAGTTCTGAGCTGGGATTAGCCTCAACATGGAGCGAACGAGGCACAGTCCACGCTCAGTGAGGGGGCACTCAGACGTGCACTCGCTCCATGCCCACCACGCCCCCCATCCCGGAGCTTTCCATGAAGATGCTTCCCACGTTAGGCCTCTTACCTGTTAAATGCCCCTCGCTAATCTAGCTTTAACCCTTCCTGCTGTGGCTTAGGTCCATGTCTTCCCGCTTAGCCGTTGGTGCCCGGGGAGCATCCCGTCCGCATAATGCCAGGTCACGGGCAAAGCTGGGGAGAGAGACTGGCCTGGCCACCCCTCCACCCTCCACCCCGCTGCGGCAGAGGAGGGCGAGGGAGTCCTGGCCTGGCTTCCTTCAAATCCTGTGGTTTTCTCCTTGTGACAGGATCTGCTGGGCAGCAAGGAGTGAAGGGAGAGAAAGGCCAGAAAGGTAACTGCGGCTTCTATCGCCTTCATTTGTGCGCTCGAGTGAGTTCTGTACTTGAGCACTGCATGTGTGGCCGGGGGAGCCGCCCTGGGTCTCAGAGAAATGCCTCACTTTGGGGAAGGTTAGTGGGCCTTTCCCTTGAATAAGCCTGCTCCCAGCCATAGCCCCAGTGCACCCCCCTTCCAGCCTCTCCCCCTCTTTCTCCTTCTCTTCCTCTCTCCTCCCACCTCTCCCCCTTCCTTTTTTCTCTCCCTCTCTTCTTTTCTTCCTTCCTTTTTCCCTCAACTTTTCTTTTTTTTCTCCCCACAACCAGCCACAGAGGCACCTGACCCCGTGGCCTCTTGGCCGCAGGCCCAGAGGCTGCTTGCCAGGCAGTGGTGGTGCCACATGTGGGGTCTTCCCGGCCAAGCGGGGTGTTTCTTCCCCGAACACAGCACTCCCTGCCACGAATAGGCACAGCCCACAGCCACGCCAAGCCCGAGGCTGCCATCCTCGCCTCTCCCACGTGTGTCCTTCCACCCAGGTGAATCCCTGCGACTTGTCAGGATTGTTGGCTCTGCGAACCGAGGCCGGGCTGAAGTTTTCTATAACAATGACTGGGGGACGATTTGCGACGATGGCTGGGACAATTCGGATGCCACTGTCTTTTGCCGCATGCTGGGTTACTCTTCGGGAAGGGCCCTTTTCAGTATGACACCTGGTGAGTCCTCCCCCGGCAACCTCTTTCCTTGAGGGGCTGTCATGGGCTTTCTCTCCCTTTGGTTGCAAGTGACTCGGTGTGGTTTAGGTTAAAAGAGAAAGATTTGTTCAAGCAACAGCAAAACTACAGCTCAGGGCCCTAGGCTTGCATCCTTGCAGCGTGGCAGCCCTAGAAGAAATGTGACCTTTCTTCTCTAAGAGTGACGGTAAAGGCTCAGCTGGGGCTCTGGCTGCCTGGCCTGGGTCAGTGTCTGTCCGCCCGGAGCCAAGATGTGGCACAGCTGGCAGTGTCTGCGAGGCATGACTCTCCGAAACGCAGCTTTAGGAGTGGAGAAAACTCACAGGGTGGGCAAGCGTGAGCCTCCGTTCCAGCTGTCTGGGTGCTAGAGGCCTGCAAGGCCCATGCTGTGGTCACCTTTAAGGGGAAGGTGCAAACCAAATCAGAGCAAGGACTTCCTCAATCAGCGTGGGGTGCTAGAGACTCGGCCTGTGACTTTCAGCACAAGGTTCCAACTTTCAGTAAAGGAGCTAGGTCAGCAGGCTGAGACCATTTCCTCAGCTGGGAGGGCTGGCCTGCAGGGACACCAGGCTCACTTCTCCTGCTCCCACCCCCAGATGCTCTCTGCTCTTACTCCACCCCAAAGTGCATAACCATTTTTAAATCTGGATTGTAAAACAACTTTAAAATACACCTTTCCTTCATATAGGTTGTCACACTGTGGTGTAAATTTCTGCAATCCAACAATCCAACTGTTTTCCTCTGAGCTCTTGGTGTGAAATCAGCTGTCTCAGGAGAAAGGGGTTTGAGGAAGGTGGATGCCGGGAGGAACACAGACATCCTGTAGTGAGTTAGCGGAAAGAGAAGAAGGTGGGGAGCCCCCGGGAGCGGATTTTAAATAGTGCCTGGATTAGTGTGAAATACTCGATGAGACTTTTGTCAAAAAGGAGAGGAAGCAGGACAGAGGCAGGGTCATTAGAAGAGAATAGTCCAACTGTCAGCACCTTGGGCCTGAGTGGACGGGAGAGGAACTGACAGTGTACCCCAAATGGGAGCCCCCAACACCAAGGGGCCACTCGGCTTTGAGCCTAATCCCACTCCCCTTTCCCTCCTTGCTTTCTCTGTATCCAGGCTCTGGGATGATCTGGCTGGATGATGTTGCATGTCGAGGGACAGAGACGACCCTGTGGAACTGCAACAAGCGTAACTGGGGCTCTCACAACTGCAACCACAGTGAGGATGCCGGTGTGGAGTGCAGCTGACCTGCTGGGGCCTTAGGCTGCCCTGCTCCCACGGTGCCTGCAAGCTTAGACACTCACTCCACCGGGGGAAGGCCAGCGCTCTCTGGGGTTCCCTGGGAGTGGGATCATTAATAAAACTCAAAGTGCTACCTGGCAACTTCGCTGGCCATGGCTGAAATCACTAATGTGTACCTCCCACCCCTTCTTGATGTGCCCACTCAATGCACACACATTGCATTGATTTTCAGATGCCCTGCACACAGGGACAGTGGAGCTTCAACTTATAGCTGGGGAAGGGTGGGGTACAGGGGGATCTAAATGGGACACAGAAAGTGAAGATCATCTGTAGTCACAATGAGTTGTGACCATTCCTTCAATCATTCAGATGTGGCATCTCTCATAGCAAGTTCTCCCATTTGCTGGAACTATTCTCCAGCAAATGAAGAGGTTGGCATGTAGTTGGCACCATGTTGCATGATAAATAGGAATTGTACCTTTAAGCATGAAAATTAGCTCTCATTAGGATGTGAGCTCCAGAAATGTAGGGACTTTTGTCAGTTGTATCCATCCCTATAGGGGCTCAGTAAATATTTGCTCAATGAAAGACTGAATTAAACCAAGCAGGTAGAACAACTCACCCTCTCTGAGGAATTTGGCTTCTGACTTTTCATTCTCCCCCTGGAATATATACTCTCTCTGAGTGCAATCACATATCTCCCTCCCCCCC